GGAAAGGAAAGGAAAGGAAAGGAAAGGAAAGGAAAGGAAAGGAAAGGGAAAGGAAAGGAAAGGAAAGGGAAAGGGAAAGGGAAAGGGAAAGTTCATAGTTCAGCGCTTCATCCTTACAGATGTCTACTTACCCCTTTATCAAAAGTGGCAAAGAATTTGATGTAGGGCTGGAAATGCTCAGCTGCTTCTTCAAATGCCTTGTAATCTAAAGAGGGTGAAGATGAAAGGAAAAGTATTTTTAATATCCACACTCCAGAAATTTCTCTTCCCCTTTTTTTAATGTTTTGGTGATATTAGAGTATCAACCATTCACTCAGCAAATACTTACTAAGTATCTACTATTTCTAGGCATAAAAACAGAAAACATAGTCTGTCTCCTCAAGGAGCTCACATCTGATTTTAGTGTAAGAAAAATGTTTACATAGGGGGAAAGGAACTAGATCTATGATTTCATTGATATAGGGAAATCCTATCAATACTGGTCAGCCTTTTCTCTGCAACTTAGATTTTTCTAGAGTTTCCTGGGGCTTTGAGAAGTAAAGTGATCTGCCCAAGGTAATACAGCTAATTTGAGTCAGAATCACAACTTGAACCCAGGTCTCTCTGGTTCTGAGGTCAGCTCTCTGTTGCCACCACCATCCTCTTCATATAAGGTGATATCTTCTATCCTATACTATAATATGCTCTATTTTCCTGTACTAGGAGGATATTTATACATTACTATTTAAATGTATATAATGATTTTCAATTGCATTAAATCAAGCCTACTCAATCTGTGGCCCTTGAGCACACCGATGGATTTTGGGCAGCCCTGCAAAAAAAATGGAGAGGATGTTTTTCTCTATTTTTCAAGGGCCACCCAAAATCCTTTGGCAAGGTTCAGGTTGTGCAGGCCTGTATTAAATCAACCCATCAACAGCATTTATTAAAGGCCTACACTCTGTCAAGCCTTTTGTCAGGTTCTGAGGATACTCAGAAATGAAACTCATGAGGCCCCCATGGAACACTCCAATCATTTGAAGTTTCTTGGGGAAAAGTAGACACTTTATCACTCTTCTACAAGGTAGGCAGGTGGAAAAGTGGGAGCAGGAGGGGGCTAGGACAGAGAAAGAAAATTTTAATAATTACAACAAAAATTCCTCAAATATAAACTCTGACCGTTGCATCTGTGATTCTATGAGAGATGTAGTTAGTAGGATGAGGACTGAAAATTTCACCTTACTATAAAGTCAAATTAATTAGTGATCATTGTTGTTGCTGTTCGGTTGTGTCCAACTCTTAGTGATCCCGTGGACCATGCTGTCCATGGGGTTTTCTTGGCAAAGCTAGTAGAGTGGTTTGCCATTTCCTGCTCCAGTAGATTTCCTTCTCCAGAGGTTAAGTGACTTTCCCAGGGTTACACAAGTAGTAAGCATTTGATGCTGGATTTGAACTCAGATCTTCCTGACTGTAGGCCCCATACTCTATTTATAGAGCTATCTAGTTGCCCCATAATGAATGGCCACATAATAGTAATTAAAGCCTTCTTAATCCTTTGAAGTTTATCGCCCCCTTTTGGAAGATTCTAGTCCATTCTCTTTCTTTGTTCTGCCTTAACACCAGCAATGGATTTTCCCCTTTCTTTGACCTCATCACTTCTGGGGAATTTTGAAATGAAATCATTTTTAAGCTTTTATATGGCCCTAAACTTCAGTCAGAACTTTCAGGTGACAAATATGTGGTATACTGAGGTACAGTCACTTTTCTTAAGAGAAAATTTGTCCATTCAGAATTGGTATTTCTACTACCTTCCACTAGAAAGTATAGCTGCTGAGAGATATTCTCTATGTATAATCTCTTGGAAGACAGAGGAATCAAATTAGGAAAAAAAATTACATAGCATACTCAGACACACAGATAAGCACACTCAAACACACATTCAGAAAAGTAGATAAATGAGAAGATGTATGTTTTGGTGATTGAGAGGGAGCTTGGGGAAGGTGGGAGAAGGTGGAGGCTGGATGATAGAGAATGGGTAGGTGGAAAATCAGAGGAACAATAGGTAGGATGGAGAAAGTCACTGAAGCAACCCCAGGTTTACTAAACCTAAAGATATGTATTTATCAATCCATTCATGACAAAAAACGGAGTTTGGTTCAGAACGCCAAAGCCTTCATTAAACCAAGGACAAATCTAATTACATTGAAGGATAAGAATCTAAGGCATTTCTGTCTCCTGGTCCACTCAGACCCTTTTAGACTAGCTCAAATCTTTTTATGTTATCCAAGCTGCTGGTTTCCTATTGTTACTATAAACCATGAATATCTTAATCATCTCTTCTGGTTTCTTCTCAGGGGCAGCTAGGTGGCGCAATGAGTAGGACTGTAGGCCTGGAGTCTGGAACACTCATCTCCTGAGTTCAAATGTGATCTCAGATACTGACTGTCTGTGTGACCCTGGACAAAGTCACTTAACCCTGTTTGCCTTGGTTTCCTCATCTGTCAAATGAGCTGGAGAAGGAAATGGCAAACCACTCCATTATCTTTGCCAAGAAAACCCTAAATGGGGTCATGGAGGGCTGGACACAACTGAAAAAATGACTTGACAACAAAAATTTCTTCACTGTCCCCCCATTTCCCTAATTTCAAAGGAAAGCCTGGAATAATTGGAGTTCTCAAAGCAAACACCTTCTCTGACATTACTTCACCATTTCCTTTATCTCTTAGCTGTAAATCCAAAAGGAGTGAGGTTAAGGATGAGGCTGGGGTGTGGCTGGTGGGAGAATGATGGGCAGTTTTCTAGGTTTTATCTCTCCTATTTCTTGCCCTCAGCTTAAAGAGTCCTCTAGTACTTTGATAATGACATAGAATAAGATCCATGTTACTTCATCCTCTGCTTTGCTGCCAAAGTGACGGTCCCAAAGCATGTGTCTGCAGCCCAATCTCCACTCAATAAGCTCCAGTGGCTCCCTATTACCTCCAGGATCAAATAGAAGATCCTCCCTTTGGCATTCAAAGCCCTTCATAACCTGCCCTCTTCCTACCCTTCCAGTCTTCTTACAGTTTATGACTCTGTCCAGAGTCTACAATAGAGCAACAGTGGTCTTCTTGGTCTTCCTTGTGTATGCTACCCTATCATCCTACTTGGTGTTTCACCAAGCCTGCAATGCTCTCCCTCCTTACCGCTGCCTTCTAGCCTCTCTGACTTCTTGATTCAAGCAATGGCTCAAATCACATCTTTGGGATGAGGTCTTTCTCGGTTTGCATTCAAAACCCTTTATAATCTAGACTTCCTTGTCCCTTACCTTGCCAATTTTCTTAAACGTTACACTGCCTTCTAGTATTATACCTAGTACTATTAGTTATTATAGTATATTACCTATTATAGTAAAATATCTATAAATATAAAGGAGAAGGCCTGGATGTATCACTACCTACATTTTTAGAGGGAAGACCTACATTGATGGGATCTATGGAAAAATGAGAATGCTCCTGAGAGAATGCTTGTCCCTTCCCAAGGACTGTCTCAACTTATTGTCTGTTTTTCTCCACATTAGGTAAATATGTCAGTTTGCACGATTGGAGAGGCCCCTCATATTTTTTCTTTCCTTGTACTCTATGGGAAAAGTCACTTTCTCAGGCTCATAGGCTGAAGTCCGTAGATGACTTACGTTCTGAGTCTTCACTCTTAAAGTAGCCAATGAGTTTGATATAGTCATCAATGCGCTCAAAGGCTTGGACTTCCAGTTTGCTGTTGATGATCTCCACTGGGTCTTCAATTAGCTGAAACAACAAATATATTTTGGTATGGGAGGTGGGTCAGTGCAGTGGCAAGAGTGTCAGATTTAAAGTTAGAAAACTTGGATTTGAATACCAGGTCAGACACATTATTTGTGTGACCTTGGGCAAATCACAACCTTTCTTGACCTCGGTTCCTCATCTCTAGAATGAGAGGGTTGCAGGTGGATTGAATGGTGCCTGAGGTTGCTTCCAGCTCCAAATCCTATATATAATCCTAGTTGAACTATTAGTTTTCCAGAGGACAATCAAACATTTGTCTAGTCACATGGATTGGCTGGGGTGGAGTTAGGGTGGGCTAAATACTCTACGCTATACAGGGTTTTTATAAGAAAGGGCTAGAATAAGAAATGGACATTGTCCAGACCTACTTTGGAAGGTAGTCCTCTACCATCTCAGGGAAGTCCCAGGCTTTCTGAGACTTGGGGTTTGAGGGTATGGACAACGAGGTGTTACTGCATAGAAATGCTATGAGCATTTGTATCACACTGAAGGGGAGTATCTGTCTGCCTGCCACTACAGCACTGGGTTCTGTATCAGTAGGGTAAGCAACAAAGGACTTGTCCACCTTCTGGAAAAGTATTCAATAGTCAGAATGCTAATATCTTTGTGAATCTGCACTGTTTTATCTGTAAGTTTTGTTGCACAGAGAAGCAACATTGTGAAATGTTGAACAGTGTTCAACACTGAACAGTGAAACATACAAGATTTGTAATTGAAGATCTGGGTTTGAGTCCTATCTAATTCTGGGTAAAATACTGAGTCTCTGAACCTTAGTTTTCTCACTTGTAAAATGGGGATAATAACATACTATATACTTCACAGAATGGTTGTGAGGAAAAGTGCTTTGTGAACCTTAACATGCCACACGTACCTGTGGGTATGCAGCTAAATTGTGTTATATTGTACATAGATACACACAATGTATGTGTATACATATACATACAATATAAGACATTGTTGTATATTGTTGTACACATAGACATATTTCTCTGGATCAGTAGTTAGGAGTGTATGTAACTCTATGGGTGAAAATTAGTGTGGGAGTGAATATATGCATGAGTAAGGGTCATGAACATGCTATATAAATTTGTCTATATAAATGCATGTATGTATACACACATACATATATGTATATATATCTATATATACACATAAACACACAAATGTATTTGCAGCATGGAGTAATTAATGACTCAGTCCTGAAGTTGAGAACTGGGTTCAATTACTTCCTTCAACACTTACTGATTGTATGTTCTAGTCACTTAACCTTTCAGCATCCTCAGACATTTCCAAGACTATAAGCAAAGGAACTGCTGATCTGAATTGGTGGAGGGGGTTTACATGTTTGGAGTTTTCCTCTATGAAATTAAAGATCCAAACCTTCTTTCCTTCCTTCCTTCCTTCCTTCCTTCCTTCCTTCCTTCCTTCCTTCCTTCCTTCCTTCCTTCCTTCCTTCCTTCCTTCCTTCTTTCTTCCTTTCTGTTTGTTGTGTGAGAATACATACATACTGACGTACACATATATGCATATATGTATGTGTTTGCACACACATGTGCATTGTATATACCCATACACACACACACAAACACACTGGACCATGAGTGCTGCATTCCATAGGAGAAGTGCCTTACGTGAGTCTGTCCCAGTTAGAATTATAGGATCACAGTATATTTGAGGTGGAATCTAATTCACCTCCCTCATTTTACAGATAAGGATGCTAAGTCCCCGGGAAGTAAAGAAGGATACCTATGGTTCCATAGCTTCAAATGGGTTCAAATCATCCCTAGACCCTAACTCTCCTAACTTTCAGTCCAATGCAGCAAGTCTTACCTTGGGAGATTATCTGGTTCTGTTTCTTCTTGATACTTTTTTCTACATTAAGAGCAGCAATAGCCCCCAACTTGTTACTTTCTCCTTCCTCCCCTTACAGATTAGCCATCCTCCTATATTGCCTGTGTTCCATCTTTGCAATCTTCTCCCCAGCAACATCAGAAGGATGCAGTTAACTGAACCAATGAATTATCAATGGGAGGTAATCAGTTGGCAATGGATGGGTGGACATAGAAATATGTTAAAGAAACATAACAGATAAAACAAACATAAAATAGAATAGCTTTCAAATGTAACAAAACTGAGATATAGGCTTCCCAGGAGAAGTAAGATTCTCTTTAACACAGGAGAAAAGCTCCAAATATCATAAATATTTTTGGTTGTTGTTCAGTCATTTCAGTCATATCCAACTTTTTATGACCTCATTTGGGGTTTTCTTGGCAAAGATACTAGAGTGATTTGCCATTCCTTTCTCCAGCTCATTTTACAGACGAGGAAACTGAGGCCAACATAAATATCATAAATATTGGTAACAGATGATCAGTTAGCAAGTTCTCAATTCTTTGAAGGTTTTGCCTCAGGCTAAATTCTAGCCAAAATAGTTCCATTCAGGGCTAATGTGAGTCCATGCTTACATCTAAAAGGAATTCCACCAAGACATCAGCAGCCAATTCTCCATCAAACTCAATAGTGCGGTCACCCTTAAGGATATACAGGCTTCCTTCTTCATCAAAACCTGGAAGAAATAAAGAGACAAGGAAAAAAGTTAACCTTCCCATGGGAAATCCATTTCTATTGGGTTTTTTTTTCTGGACCTAACTTCAAACTCACTTCCTTCATGAAGCCTTCTCAGACTAATCTTACTCTGCTCTCTACCCTTCATTTTTCTGTTTACTGTTTAGACTGCAGGATCAAATCAAATGAAATGCGATTTTATACACACATACATGAATGTATATGTGTATGTGCTTTGCAAACCTAAAGTGCTATATAAATGTTAAGCATTATTGTTATTATTGTTGTTATTACTTACTTTTGTTCTATAATTATCTATTTTATGTCTTGCCTCCCCAACTAATAATAATAATAATAATAATATTAGCCTTGATATAGTATTTTAAGGTTTGCAAAGTGCTTTACAATCATTATCTTATTTGATTCTCACAATAACCCTGGGAGGTAAATGCTATTATTATCACTGTTTTCCAATGGGGAAACTGAGGCAGACAAAGGCTAAATGATTTGCTTAGGGTTACACAGCTAGGTAGTGTCTGAGATCAGATTTTAACTCCGGCCCCCCCACTCTGGGACTGCTAGGTGGTACCATAGTGCATATAGTGCCAGGCCTGGAATCAGTAAGACTCATCTTCCTGAGTTCAAATGTGACCTCACACTTACTAGCTGTGTGACCCTGGGCAAGTCACTTAACCCTATTTGCCTCAGTTTCCTCATCTGTCAAATGAGCTGGAGAAGGAAATGGCAAAAATCTTTACCAAAAAACCTCAAATGGGGTCACTGTGGCCCCAAACTTCTGTAAACTAGCCTGTTAACTCCTTTCAGGACAGGGATTATATCTCATAACTCAAATTTAGAGCTAGAGGGGACGTTAGAGGTCATTTAATCCCATCTCCTTACTTTACAGTGGAAGAGAGGCCCAGAGAGGGTAAGCCACTTACTCAAGGTCACACGGAAGGTGACAGAGCTGAATAATATGACTTTAAATCTACCACTCTTTCCACCATACCCCACTGCCTCCTCTCATCTGGGAGTCAGGGCACCTGGGCTTGAGTCCCAGATCTGCCACAAAATACAGTGGAAAGAGCTTTGGGCAAATCCTTACATTATTCTGGGCCTTGGTATCCTCCTCTGTGAAACGATCCAGCGGCAGTAAAGACATTGCAGCATAATGGAAAGAGCGTTGCATTTAGAATCAGGACAGACCTGATTGCAGATCCTGCCTTTGATGCTTGTTACCTCTGTGATGGTGGACAAGTTGCTCAGCCTACCACCCTGGCCTCAAGGAGCTTGCAGTCTAGTGGAGGGAGACAGCACACAATAGGGATTGTCAAAGGAAGACCTGCAATACTACCCTCACAGGGACATTGTGATGATAACAGGATGATGTTCTGCAAACCATGAAGTGTTATAGGAATATTAGCTGTTACTGTCTCTAAGTAACCTTCTTTCTATCTTAGGCTCTCTCCTAACTTGGAAAGTCCATGACTTTGTCAAATATCTTCTACTTACTGTCTATTGCACCTACTATATTGTTCTGTACACAGAAGGTGCTAAATAGATGCCTAATGACAAACTGCATATTGCTTAGGAGGGCCAAAAACCTGAAGTCATCACTGACTCTAGCTGTACATATTTTCATCTCCTTCGGTCTTATTCATCATTAAAATATGTAAAGCCCTTTGCAAAATCTTAAAGCACTATATAAATATGTTATTAATAATAATAACAAGATAATAATCGTGTTATATAATGGAAGAAAAGAAACAAATCTTTATTAAATGCCTGCTATGTACCAGGCACTGTGCTAAGTGCTTTATAGATATTATTTCACTTGATCCTCATAACAACCCTGGAAGGTAGGTATGATTATTATTCTCATTTTACAAATGAAAAAACTGAGGCAGACAGAGGTTAAGTGATTTGTCCAGGGTCAAACGGTTATGGAGTGTCTGAGGTCAGAATTTGAACTCATATCTTTCTGGTTCAGTGCTCTATCCGGTGCAGAATCTTATAATATAATCATAATGATAACGACAAACACTGTTGCTGTTGTTGTTCAATCATGTTCAACTCTTTGTGACCCCATTTGGGGTTTTCTTGCAGAGATACTGGAGTGGTTTGCCATTTCCTTCTCCAGCTCGTTTTATAGATGAGGAAGCTGAAGGAAACAGGGTTGAATGACTTACCCAGGGTCACATAGCTAGTAAGTGTCTGAGGCTAGATTTGAACTCAGGTCTTGCTGACTCTAGGCCTGGCACTCTATCCACTGTGCCACCTAGTTGCCCCAATAAACACTGTAGTTAGGACCATTAGTCTTAAAGGATATTTAGTTCACCATGGTTTTGCTTCGACGTCTTAGTACAAGGAACAAAGCAGCCTGCAGCATGGCAGAGTTGTGGTGCTGTAGAATGTTCATTGGATTTGATGTTGGAACGCCTGGGCTCAAATCTTATTTCTTCCACTTGCTATCTGTATGACCCTGGGCAAGGCATTTAAGTGTCCTTACGTGACCTTGAAAGATTTGGACTGGATAATCTCTGAGGTCCCTAAACCAGTAGGGGGGCTTCGCTAAACTGCAGATATGGGATCAAAGAGCCAGAGGGAATATCCCGTTGGGCCTAGACATGTGTGCCTCTATTGAGTTTAGCCAACCCAAAAATGTCTCCACCTGCCAGCAATACTTCTAATATCATATGAGCTCATAGTTTTACAGCATCTTAAGTATTTACTTCTCTCACAACAATTCTCTAAAGTACCTCCACTGGCCCTGGTCACTTTGAAAACATTATTGCACCAATTCCTCAATTCTGCTCTGCCTCTGGGTGTTTTTCTATAGCAAACATATCTGAGGCCCTCCAACAACCACAAATCCTCATAAAAAAGGAAGAGAAAAGAAAGTAGGGTGAGGGTATGACTGGCTGTGGGGAAGGATGAAGGCAGGCTTTATTAGAATGCTTTTAGGCATCAGGCAAAGAGGACAGATGGTCATTTGTCTGTTAACCTAATTTGTTCCTTTGCCCTTGGGAAAGGCTGCATTTATGAATTCAATATAATTGGGTGCCTGCCATAAATGGTCTCCAGGGAAGAAGATGACATCGTCTGTTTTCATGACCTATTTGTATTTCCCAATTCCAAGTTCTCCTGGATATCTAACCTAAATATAGCCTGCTATAATCTCGTCTTTTTTTGGGGGGGGAGTTCCTCCAGCTACAGCCTCCATGAAAATGGAACCTAGCTGTTTGTCATCATTGGAATGATGAACATGCATGTACCTGAAGACCACCCATATGACTATTTCTCTAGGTTTGCACCTTTCAAATCCAATTAACCTTTCTGCAAAGGTCCTATTTTATAATCCCTTCTTAAAACGGCTCTCCTTCACTGACCAAGCAGAAAGACTGGCTGGACAGAATGTGTGTGTGTGTGTGTGTGTGTGTGTGTGTGTGTGTGTGTGTATGTTTACACTCCTGTGTGTTGTAGTGGGAAAACAAACCAAACCAAAACAAAACACTGTAGAATTTGGAGCATGAAGGCCCTGGGCTCAAGGTCTCAGTTCTGTCAGTCAAGCAGACTTTGGGAAAGTCCTTTCCCCTTCTTGGCCCTTGGCCTCCTCATTTGTAAATTGAGAGGGTCAGACTAGAAGTGCTAGATGTGGAGATAAGAAGACCTGAGTTCAAATTCTGCCTCAGACACTTCATAGGTGTTTGACTCTGGGTAAAGTCACTTAACCCCTCAATGCCTCAGTTTCCTCATCTGTGAATGAGGGAATTGGATCTGATGACCTGTGAAGTCCCTTCCAACCTTAACATTCAAGGATACCCTGTATGATAAGGGGAAGAAGTTGCCTGAGTGTAAAATGTACCTCATCCCATGTACATTTTTAGGAGTAAAAATCTTCAAGCACATTTGCACATCAGCATGTTATATTGACATGGGGAGAGGGGTGTCAAAGGTGTCAAAGACTCTATTCCAGTCATTTAACCAAATCTGACCTAAGCCAGTACTCTAAATGCCAATGACTGCACACAGCTGTGATGGCTTGGGCTTAGAACCCACAGTAACCTCACAGAGCCATTATTAGGAGAGCCCTTAGTGCTACCCTTCCTTGAAAGGTCTAGCCAAGAGGCCAAGAAGAGCATAGGATGGATTTGAAAGTTGATTTTGTAACCTGCCCTGGGACACACCCAAAAAAAGAGCTCATACCTCAGTATCTATTTCTCCAGATACCCAGACCTTTGCTGCTAATATCAAGCTAGGAGGGTGGAAGGATATCACTTATGACAGAAAAGCACAACATTCAATGTTTGTTTTATGGAATCTCTCCAGGGGTATGCTAAAGCCAACTTGTACGAGTTGTAATTGGTTCATGAGAACCAATTATTAAATTTTCACTGTGAGCATTTATACTTTAGCAATAGGTAAATGCTACAAATCTGAGTTTGATTTATTGTTTTGCTGATTGTCTAGACTTAAGAAAGTAAGGGAGAAAACATTAATAATGAAGTTAAACTTAAAAGTTGGTCATACATATATTTTTTTGAGAGCTGGTTGTTAAACATTTATTAGCACACTCCTGAATCTATCCAGGGTGATCCAGAAGTCTCTATGCAGTTGAAGAATGACGTAATGTAGGCATTGAGATAGAAGAGCATATAGAGCTCTGGACTTGGAAAAGGAAGCCCTAGGTTTGAGTCTTACCTCTGATACTTTACTATCAGGGTAACCATGTTTCTCAATTTCAATTTTTTCATCTGTAAAATGAAGATATTAATAACTGCAATAATGTTTCCTACGGTTGTTATAAGGATCAAACGTGATAACATAGGTAAAGTACTTTGAAAACTGTGGAGTCCTGTATAAATGTTAGCTATTATTAAATGAGTTAAACCCTTAAGTGTTATATAAATGCCATTTATTGTTCATGTCCATAGTTTTTTTTAATCAGACTTTTTTCTATAGTTTATGTTTAAATTTATGATTGTGACAAAAGTCATATTAATACTCACGACTGACTTTTTTCCTTGTTGCAAAAAGGAGTAAACTGTCCAACTTGTATCAGAATTATACTCTTTGTTTCATTTTGTTTAAAAGTGGTCAGATCCTCATATGGAAAAACATACAAATGTTCAGCGACTTGTTTCTTCCCTTTGGTATCTTCTGGAAATCACACTTACCTAGCTTTTTAGCAAGCTTGGCTTCTTTCTTGGAGTCCACCAAGGCAAAACCTATAGCTTTGTGTTCCAGGACCTGGGCCGCCAGCTGAAGGAAAAAGTAAGATGAGGGCAAATTAAAATAACTCTGAGGTGTGTGCCTCATGGTCAACAAATTGGCAGAGATGACCAAAGATGAAAATAGTCTGCGTTGGAAGGGATGGGAAAAGATTAACGTGCTAGTATACCGTGGCTGCAGCTGTGAATTGGTCTAAGACTTCTGCAAAGCAATTTGCAATTCTGTGAGAAAAACTGTTGCTTAAACTGTTCAGACATTTTGACCCAGAAATATCATTGCTGGGCATATACTCCAAGGAGATTGAAGGCAGAAAGAAAAATCCCATATATTTATAGCAACACTTTTTTTTGTGGTAGTGAGAGGAAATGATTATTTCTCTCTTATATTAATAATCAATAAATATTGGGGAGAGGGAGAATCCAAGTTTTTTTTTCCTTTATGTTTGCTCATTTAAAGTCCAGTCTCTCAAGGACATTTCTGACTTTGCCCAAAAATTTACCCCACCTAGACCACCTAGACCAGTGGAATTCTTACCCCACCATCATTTATTGTTCACTGACTGGGTGGAGGATAGATCCGTTTGTATAGATTGCCCAAGGTATGGGTGGTCTGGCTTGAGATGGGTCTGTCTTTGTCCATTACACGATTAAAGTCATTTACCCAGCCCCTCATCAGAATAACCCCATCTCTCATTATAATATTCATTCTCTCATTAATTATTAACCAATCAAAGATGATTTCCACCTGTTGGTATCACCCACTCATCTAAGGGTATGTAAGTGTTGATCGAGCCTCCATGATTCATCTTTGGTGTATGAGAGAAAGCCAAATGACCATTTTATTAATTATCTGCTAGCCATCATTGATAAAATTATTAATCATTTAGAAACTTTGTCTCTCAAACTCTTCATATGTCCACAGTAGTGGAAACCAAATGAGTGCCCATTGATTTGGGAATGGCTGAACTAATTATTCTATATAAAATATTAGAATGCTTTCAGAGAACTTGGAGAAATAGGAGAAGACATATCTGAACTGATACAGAGCAAAGGGAGCAGAAGCAGGAAAACAATATACAGAATAACGACCATAATTGAAATGAACACTAAAACGAAACTATGTTCTGTATTATCATAATAACCCAACTTGGTCCAGAAGATGAAATGAGGTACACTGAGGCAGTAAACTGTATAAAACAGGGCACTGTATTTGAATTAAGGAAGATCAAATGCTACATGATCCTCAGAAAGTCACTTACCTCTGTATGCCCTAGTTTCCTCATCTGTAAAATAAAGGGGTTGCACTTACTGGTTTCTAAAGTCCCTTCCAGCTCCAAATCTATGATCCTATAGGAAATTAATCTTCCTTCTTTCCTTGGAGGGGTGGGAGACTATGGATGCAGAATGTTTCATATATGACCAGATATGCCCACTGTATCAGTTGGTTTTGCTCGGCTGCTTTTAATTTGTAATAAGGAGAGGCTCTCTCTGTTATGGATTTGGGGTGGTAAGCTTAAAACTGGAAAAAAAAACTGATCTAAAAAAATCAATGCAACTTTTTACCCCCCAAAACACACACAAATATGAGGGTAAATGGGCCAAAAGTGAAAGAAAATGACACAGGAAGAAGTACGAGGAAAAAGACAAAAGGGGAAAATACTTAATTTGAAAATCTCCTTTGAGTATATTAGTACAACTACTACAGTTGTGACTACCGTTACCTACTACTAGCTAGCATTTATATAGCACTTGAAGTTTTGCAAAGCAATTCCCATATGTTATTGCATTTGATCCTCACAACAGCCCTGGGCTGTAGGTGTTCTTGTTAGTTACATTTTACAGAGAGGAAACTGAAGATGAGAGAGGTTAAGTGACTTGTCCAGAGTCACACAGCTAGCAAGGTCTGAAGTCAGATTTGAACTCATGGAGATGAGTCTTCTTGACTCCAGGCCTGGAGCCCTACCCACTGCACCACCACAGTGTACTTTTAAGTCTATTCAAAAACCATGACAAACAAAAATTAAGTTCATGCTCTGTGCAGTTAATGTACCATAGCCCTCAGAATTATTTCACCCATATTCATGTGTCAGGTTATTCTTTCATCCCTTTTGTATCTCAGAATTTTCCCATTTCCCCATTGACAACCAATTACTCTCCTTCGTCATGGATGATAAAATCACCAGATCAGAGATTAGCCAGAGAATTCCGTTCTAGCTAAGATCCAAGATTCCAGGCTTGGTATTAGCTGGGATTTCAAAATTATTCTGTCACCTCCCACCATGCCTAGACCTGATGCCCTCCCACTTGAGTTCAGTCACGACTCACTGTAGAGGGAACAGCTCCCTCCCTGGGGCCTTATTGACACACTAAGAAGACTGGACAAGTTGATCTGTGAGGACCGAAAGGCCACACCTATTGTCAATAGCTGAAGTGTGCACCAGCTTCTCCCCCCTCCTAGGGCCACCCTAAAGTAGTAGGTTTAAAAGCAAACGGACCAACAAGCAAAGTATAAGTAGTGACCAGGGCTTCTTTGCAGATGCTTCAAGGCTTGTCTGTTATCTGAACACTATTGTTATGGAAATGGTCAGCTCTGAAGGAGGGAGAGGGAAAGGGAGCCAGGTGAGAGATCTTTATTGTGCCCAGCAGATCTGCCTAATTCCCCAAATACGGATGACCTGCCAGCTGTCGAATTGTTTTGCATTTTTACCCCATGCCCACAGACAACCAATCACTCTCTTCTGGTAGGGACAGATAGAAACATAGTCTGACTCCTCCTGACCTTTTCTGACTCATCTCCTACCCTTCCCCTTCACGTACTCTTTACACCAGGCAAACTGGCCTGCCATCTGTTCCCTGAGCTTGGTGTTCCATCACTGCACCTTCACCCGGGCTGGCACCCAAGCATGGGTCGATCAGAAAGGGGTGGGGAGTTGTCTTGACTATGTTCTCAGGTCTGAATCGTGTGTGCTCCTGTATGTGTCGATCAAAGCAAGGATGATAGACCATAGCTTTAGAGCTAGAAAAAAAAATCATATCATCCATTCTCCTCATTTTAGAGATAAGGCTGATGGGAGGGTAACTGACTTCCCCAAGCTAATACAAGTAGTAAGTGGCAAAGATGGCATTCTTTCCATTACACCAAACTGACTCCCAACAAGCCTGTTGTATATTTAATATCTTGTTAGTCTCTGTGCTTATACTCTTCCAAATGACCTTTTCATATAAATGGTGCGAATATTATTGTGCCTATTTTTACAGATGAGGAAACTGAGATTCACAGAGCCCTGCATCTAATAATAATAATAATGATAACAATAACAATAACTAACATTTATGTAACACTTACTGTTTGCTACACACCATAGCTATGAAGTGTCAGAGCCAGGATGTAGACCCAGGTCTTCTGACTCTAAAGTTTGTGTTCTCACCCCATTGCCTCTCTTAGGCCACATTGCTAACTCACATACTTTTCACTGGCTCTGAAAAGAGGCAGTGTGGTGCACCAGAAAGGGCATTGGATTTGGAAGCAGGAGAGCTGAGATCAAATTCCACCTCTGTCCTTCCTGGCTTGAGTGAGCATGGGCAGGTCATTTAAACTCTTTAGACCCCCATTTCCTTACCAAAATTGGGGGTTGGACTAGAGGACTATCTCAAAGGTTGCTTTTAGCTCTAAATCTATGATACTATTAACTCTTCAGAGGGAAATTCAGTGCAATTTCAACAAATATTTACTAGATACTTATCATATGCAAGGCATTGCTGGTGATGCAAAAATGAGCAAGACACGGTCCCTCTTCTCTAGGAGCTTCCAGTAGGAGAGGTAAATCAGGTACAAAAGAGACTCTCCTACCAAAAAGAACAGATCCTAAGTATCTGAGATACAATCCATGAAGAGGAAGAGACCGTTTCTAAGGGGGGTGGGGGTGGGACACAGACCAAGGAAGGTGCCATTTGAGGTAGGTCTTGAGGATTGTATTGGAAAAAAAAAAAAGAAAGGAATCATTTTAACCCCAGTCTAATGACAATGATAATTAGAAACCACAATATTAAACAAGATAATGGTAACTAGTGATAAATACTACTATTGCTATTCATATTTATGTGGTACTACAAGTCAGATTGTAAGAAGAAATCCTATTACAATTAAGATTTTGATATAAAAAGATTCCAGAACCCCAGGGGGGACTGTTCATTTCATCCATGTTCACCCTAAATGACTCCCTCTCAGCCAAAGCATGCAGATAGTCCCTTTAGAACTGATTGTACTGTAATAGGAATTATCATGTAATGCATCTACCATGGAACCCAATGCCATAAAGAATAAAGCTGGGCCATGGGCTGCCTTCTTCCAAAGGGATGGACCTCTTTCCCTTTCATCAGTGCTCAGCTCCCCCACAGAGCCAAGTACTATGCTTTTCATTTGTTGAATCTTGTAAAACTGGAGGGTCCACGACATGATTGATTAGCTCAGACATGTGACTGGTTTTATAGCTGTATTTGCATTGCAAAGATCTGGGAAAGTAATTTCAGTCATGGGTTGGGGGTAGGGTAGGGAGAAGAGGAATCTTTACAGGAGGGACTAGAAACATGTTCCAAAGGGAAGTAGCTAGAAAATTAACAACTATTTAGCCTCTTAAAGGTACATTATATATTCATAGCAACACTTTTTTTTTTTAAAGAGTGAAATACTGGATGCAAAGTACAGTCCCATCTATGAGTGAAAGGCTCAACATATGGTACATGAAAATAAGGGAATAAGAAGTGCATATACTATAAGAGATTAATATGTAGAATTCAGAGAAACATAGGAAGACTTTAATGAACTAATAGAAAACTACAACCATGAAAAAGTCTATCTCAAGTCTAGAACAATATAAATGGAAAGCCTGTGCCCCACCCAAAAGCCCCACACCCAACAACCTTGAAGTGTAATTATAACAACCAAGAAATTTGGCCCCGAAGAAGACTTGAGAAATTGTATTTCCGTCTGTGTTTGTTATTTTTTCCCCCCAGAAATGGGGAGGTACAGTG